AGAGGTGGTCGATGCCCCAAGCCTGTCAGTGTTTAAGAGGCATTTGGACAATGCCCTTAATAACATGCTTTAACTTTCAGTCAGCCCTGAAGTGGTCAGGCAGTTGGACTAGATGATCATTGTAGATCCCTTCCAACCGAAATATCCTATTACGTTAGAAACAGTGTTGAAACAAGGGTCTCTGTTCCTACTGCATTTTCAAACAGTTTTAAACCCCAAGTAAACTGAATCTGTTTGTCAGCTTTTCCAGTGGAGGAGGAAAACAACATAGCTTTGTCTCCTGTGAGGCAGACAGAGCCATGCCCACAGTTCCCAAACTATGCTACCAGCAGGGAGTTAAAAAAAAGTGTTTCAAGAGAATTCTCCATAAGCAAGTATATTTTCTCAAAACAAAGAATAATGTGATGTTAGGGGAAAAAAAAAGGAAAAACCTTAGATGGGGCCATTCAAAGAAACCCCAAACAAAATACTTCTTGCTAATCTATAATCAAGGCCTAAATCTCTCCTATTCTTCAGGCTGAAGCAACAGTCACAGACCTTTAAGTGAATGAAACAGGTATCCACTGGCTCAAGCAATATACTATCAAGTGCCTAACGGACAAGCTTTAAGTATCAGTAACAGACTAATTTACTATTAGAAGTGACTCCAGACTGTTAGAAACATTACAGTAGGCTTGCAGAATATTGACATCCTCCATTTGCAAATACAAGGCAGAAATAGCCAGCTTACCCTTAGCCAAATTGATAAAAAGCCTTTTTACTCCCTTCCAGCATATGATGAAGGGCATATGACAAAGTGACCTTAATAAAGAGATGCTAATTTTGCTGCACATTTCACATGGCCACATTAATCCACGATGCTGGACAGCTCCAGCAGCTGAACAGAATCTCATCACTGGGACAACTCGGAGTACCACACTTCCCAAACACAGTCCATAAGTTTCAGTGACATGGGCGTATCTAATAACAGGGTGAAAACCTCAGACAGATAAACAAGACATTTATTCAATGCTTAATATATAGCATTAAATAATTCTGTAGTCTATAGAATGCATATAATGCATTCTTGTAGACTAATGGCTTCCTTTTATAGCAGATGTAGAGACTTTACCCTACTAAGTTTGACAATTGTGGTAGAGATATCTTAATCACGGTAGTGAGATTTTCTAAGATTACATGTTCACAGCAGCCACGAAATCCCATGCAAAATGCCTAGTGATGTCTTAACTTCAGGCCACTGACCTACAAAAGGTCCTTCCAAGAAAACAGGACATGGGCTATCAATTCAGATACCCAGGTGAAGAACAGCATTCTAGTACACCTATCATTCGATATTGGCACCAGTGGAGGGAATCTCAGATTTAACAAGGATGAATTGCCCATCTCTGACAAAGAAGAACTAGGCAAATACACAAACTAAAACCCTACTGTATGTACATGTCTTGCATCAATGTGTACACTGTACGTACATTCTTGCACAAAATGTTATTGAAGATGCAACGAATCTCCCTGGCCAGCCAGAAACATGTATGCCTTAAGAACTGGCCTGTTCCATCATTAATATCAACAGCTGGAACTGGTAGAATGTGGGATACAACAGATTGGGAATCCAGGAAAACACTGACTTGGTATACATTTATTAATAAACAAAAACAATTAGCAAGTGGCTTTTGAGCACCTAGCCCTAATTTTCCAGACTACTTATCATTAGCTTGCTCCTAAATCTGTTTTGGGGAATTCCAACAAGTTCTCCAAGACAAACCTACTACAAAGAGAGGGACATCTGTGCAGTCTGGACAAGAACCACTCAAAGCCAGGTACATGGTATGCAACCCCTCTTGATTAGCAGTATGGTAACAGTCACAGCCAACAGACACTGATGAGGACTCGAATGGAACTTACATTAAGTTTATATTCCAAAGTCCTGCAAAATCCAAGCTTCTGTTTTCCATAATTAGTTTTAATATACTTTTGATACTCTGGAGACACCCTTTGTCCACTAGTTGTCTAAAACCAAGCAAGTTATTTTCCTCCTTTCACAGCTGGCTGACAGAAAATCCTTGATCAAAGGATTTTCACGCTAAGGAAAGCCTCAGATTCATCCTTTGAGTGACCCTGAGCCACAGTAAAAACAAAACATACTTAAAGATAACTTGACTGAGATATTGAAGCTTGAAGGCTTCTGATGGAGACACAGAACAGTTCCCTTGATTAAGCAAAGTAATCATTGACTTCAAGTTCAACATTATTAATTCTATTTCCAAAATGGATTTTTTTTGTCAATTCCAAAACTAGTCTCTAACACTCTTCTTGGATGCCTAGATTCCATTGTACTTACGTTCTCTGTATCTCCCCAAAGCAACTAGCCAAATGACCTGCTCCACTAGTTGTTTACATCTGGCAAGACCTGTCTCTTTCAAGATGGATTCTAATAGGGGACACAGCAGAAAGAGGGTGAGAGTCTACTTATGGCTACTGTATTGAGTACAAAGACTGAACAGATATGCTGTGCTCTTCACCTGCATTATGATAGTTGCAAATATGATGATCTGTTCCTAAATGTGTGGAAATCAAAGACAACAGAAAGAATTGGAAGGAGGCAAAAAAAACAAACAAAAAAACAAATGCTTGAGTGGAGAGCAGAGGGGATTAATTTGTGCAAGTAAGATACTGCCTTAAAAAAAAACCAGGCCTGACAACATTAATAATGGTGAATGTACTCTATCTTCAGACTCTAGTTGCCTCAAGAGGAGCCAAGGTTAATCACATCAAGAAAAGTTAAATTCTGATAAAAGGTCAGTAAATTGTCTGTCTTCTGGTTGAAAAATGCCTTGCTCTCAGAGAGATGCGAAATCCTGCTTTACTGTATGCACTGAAGAAGTCTTTGGAAGGAGGATCCGGAGCATGATTTTGGAGTCTAAGTATTTGCTAACAATGCTTCCAGATGCTGACAGTTCTGAGGCTAAAAGTTCAAAACACCCATCAAGTAGCTAAATACCAAAGAAACTCAGTAGTTAGACAAAACATCTGCTGATTCAAAATACAGGGCTTTTAATATGCAGATATATAGCTGTTTTTCTGAAATTGTCAAAACCCTTGGAGTCCTTGTCAAGCAAGTTTACTCCTACAAACTTATTTCTGTCACTGTAACTTACTATCACAGACAAATGGTTTGGATAAGCTGCCTCCATGATTCTGGAACTTGTTAATGCTCTTAGAAGATAAGCAACATGGAGCCAACTTGGTCAACAATCACTAACTGGCAACAAGACCTTGCAAGACCAAGGTAGGATAAAGGATAACTAAGATTGTGTGCTCAGCCAGACACTTCAGGAGGATATTTAGCAAAGCCACAAGCCTTTTTCTTTAAAGACATAATTAGCTATCAGGTAAGATGGTCTAAAAAGCAGACAGGAGATACTCAGCTCTAAGAGGGAGGAAAAGAACTTTCCCCTCTATTGCAACAATAGGGCAACACTGTGGGAGCTAGGCCCAGAACCACTGCTATACCCCATTCAAATCCTTACTGAAGCCACTTCAGACATCAGCCCTCAATGCCCACTCCTGAAGTTTCAGCAATAACATGAGAAAGGTCTTATACGAGACTGGGGAGTTTGGGCAGCAATTTTCCATGGAGAAAGAAGATATCTTTTCTTCAAGAATCTCATGCAAAAGCACTTTTTAAAGGCTGCTTCTTTCAGTCAAATAAAAACCAAGGTACCTTAGTCATTATGTTCCCAAAATAAGTTTCATATGTTCTGGCTACCAGAACTCTACCTTGAGTTTATATACAAAGGAACACGGCCTCTCCTACTGTTGCTGAAGCAGTATCTTTTTCTCCATATTGCCACTGGCATAACTCCAAACACACTTCAGGAAAAAAAATATGGAAGAGAACAAGTGAAAATAACTCCTCTACAGTAGGCTTATTCCATTACCATAAACGGTCTACAAAAACTTTAAAGGAAAAACATCCTCTTTCTGCAAATTCTATTATGAAGATTATGCAAACTGATTTACTAGCTTTGTGAAAAATGAAACCTGTTGTACAAGATGCTTGTGCTGTTTTGCTATTTAGATTGCACGGGAATAGGATCCAGGTTCTGTCAAAGTGATACCAGATTGTAGCATACTCTTTGGAGCTCTAATATACTCTTAAAAAAAAATTCTCCCCCAGCCATGTCTTAAAATACAGCCCTAGAAACAACAAAGGAAAAATAATTGCAATGAGATTGTCTTTACTGAATCATAGCTTTGGAGCAGGATGAAAAAAATCTCAGAGGGTCATGAAACCTATTTTCTGTTCACAGAACTTGTTTCATAAACCAACACAATCTCTAATTCATCAGGTAGGGGGGGCGGAAAAAAAAAAGGAGTAGAAGGAAGAGTGACACTTAAAACAGCTTTTTTTTTTTTTAAAGGTCTGAAAAACTAAGTGGTTTCCAATGACTTGAAAGTGGATGAATGACTCAAAAATTATTTCTGTAAAGACTGCCAGATACCAAATTCTCATTAAGTTAACCCATTTTATATTAATGTCATTTACAAATTATCATTGGCAGAACAATTTCAAGAAATTCCACATCCATGAAGTGCCAACACTCAACCCCACATATGTAATTTGTGATAGATTGAGACGTGCCTATATAAAAGGACCATGAAATGTTAATATACTTACAGTTCCACCCATGTGAGGTGGCAGATACTCTCCACTGATGTATTCCTGTACATCACTCTTGTTTGTGAACTTTAACATGCTTATTGCATCTGGGCCAAGCCAACCCTTTACAATTTTAAAAGCAGCTTTAAAAAAAACACAACAAAAGGTATACGTAAGTTGTCAGGAAGGGGTTTTTTTGCAGTGTATTAGTAGACCTTATGGAACACAAGGGAGCTACATCCCATAAGATATGGCAGGCCCTGCTCTGAAAGTATGTATTATAACAGGGATAAACAGTGAAAGGAAAAGAGTATTATTTACAGAGAAAGTATTTTATGGACATACACCTTTCTATAGACGAATGCAGATAGACCACAGACTTTCATGGAAAGAGTATCTTTGATTTAACAAATTACAATTTTGTTGTCTTGGAATTTAGACCAGGAACTACTGAGGGGGTAAAAGCAATTGTATTTCCAAATCTGAGTGAGGGAGGTTGGGAAAGATGCATATACACTCTTCCTAGTTGAAATGTTTTGCTGCTTTAAAGGACACTTGTTTAAATCTACAGAGTATTTTCAAATACCATAGGTATTTCAGTGATGGTAAAACATGAATATACAGAAAAATATAAAGCCACCAAAAATATGTATTCATATAGTAAAAATACAGGAATAACATGTTTATCCTGTACATTGTAATTAAAGATAATTATTAAAGTACACACATCAAAACATATGTAACAATACCAGTGTCTAGTGTCAGGCATCTATCTTAAATTGTGTATTCTAGTTTTGGCTGGTTATAAGTGTCCATCATTTGTTCATGATAGTATTCCTAAATCATGAACAGATCTAGCTTTGAAAGGACAACAGCTGGAAACATTCACAGAATAGACTATTTATCGAGGTCTCCCAAGCTTTAAAGGTAACAGGATGAATACGGACTCCATTTAAAGTATGTTCCAAAATACTGTGCTAGAAGGAAAAACAAAGTATGCAACCTACAAATTGACAGATTTAAAGATGGATGTTTAACAAATTCCACTATTCAGCTGTATCTATAGAGAGCAGAAAAATGCTTCCTATTTATGCTACTAATTTTAAAGAGTTACCATGATAAAAAAAAACCCCAAAACCAAAAAAAAACCACAAAACCAAACAACAACTTACCGTTCATTATCCATGGCATTTCAAAGATCACTATCTTTGCTGAAAAGACAAAAAGAAAAGGAAATAATCTGAATACCAAGTGTTATGTATTTCTCTGTTTGAGAGGAAGCACAGCAATAATGGTCATGTACAAAGTGAATACTCATTTTTAGAAACTTCCATGTTCATTTTCTTGTAAAAACAATTATACAAAATTGCTTCTAACATGCATAAACTGATTTCTATTACTATATAAAGACATTAGCTGTTTGCTATATTAGCATATATAGCATATTATAATATAGCTATAATATAGTAATATAATATATGCTAATAAAATTCTAATTTATAGACTGTTTATATACTTCTCTAGCATACTACTTTTCTGACACTGTTACTAGTAAGTAATCACCCAAATAAGATGGAGAAAGGCAAGATCTCAACCTGACCTAGAAAAGCAACTATTGAATGGAAAAAGAAAGTTTAACAGGTATATTCAGCACCTCTTCTTCCTAAAGAAGCAAATAGCAAGAGACTTTGTAAATCTACATTTTTTCCAAGCTTTTTGTTTTAGCAGAGAAGTCTGAAAAGTTAGTACTTTGACTCAGAAGTGTCCCAAAATTTTTCTTGAACATCAAAAAACCAAAACCATGATGTTGCACTTGCCTTTAAGTTTGATATTTGATCAAAGTTTTGAACTTTGATCAGCAAGCTGAAATCTAATATTCAGAATTTAAGCAGTTGCTGTCCAGAATTTCAATATTCACAGACATATTTTCACTTAAAATTTCTAACTCATGTAAGATGAGCTGGCAAAAACTATTCAGTGCTTGCCTATCCATAAAAAAAAGTTAGCAGGCAAGTATGCAGGTTTTTCCAAGTGTGCACACAAACATGCCTTAATCTGTTCAGACTAAACCATTGCTCCTAAAATTTTCTATAGCCATTCATTCTTTGTCCCCTGAAGACTCCTAAAGGATACAAACTGTCATGCAAGCTTGCAAAGCTTCTACCCAAGTAACAAGGAGCAAAAGACAGGCCAATTCAGTTCTACTAGATACTTGTATCAATTTATAATCCAATTTTTAATCTGTAAAATGCTGTTTTACATTCTTATTTCATGAAAAGCCAGTTGATTTTTGATGAACGTAAAGTTTATTTACAATACAAAGTTGTGCTGACTTATGAGCACAAAAGTATTCTGAATCTGTAACGTCCCCATGTTCCATGTAGTTACCACACAAAGCAGATGCAAAAAGACTTAAAAGTCTCTCCCATCATCTGCAACATTATGAAATGCTCTTATTACACAAGTCTACAGTGCTTAAGATGTAATATACAATACTTACTGAGGAAGTTTGGGTAATAATCTGTAAAACAGCTGACAATAAACCGAACAAAATCCAAGTCCTAAGATAAAAGCACAGAGTAAACGCAATGTAAATCAAAACATTAAAAATACAGGCTTAGTTAAGCTAAGGCATTTATTGAATAGCACAAGATACTTATATTGTAATCATCTATATTCAAATTTTACACATACTACAAACATCATCCAGACCCAATGCAATGCTTTCCACTTCATTAAATTGTTACAGGATTGTGGTCAAACTTTGCTTTATGATGTAAGAAAGAAGTCAACAGACCTATTTTCAATGCAACAGGTTAGGTATCTAAACTACTGCAGAGTATCAACAGGATTTCAGCTGTACAGGAAAGATACAGGAAAAATAAACCTTTAGCACTACAGAAGCTTGACAGATTATCTTAAAGCCTTACAAGGGAGAGCACTAAACAGTGAAATTTCCCTTCCATAATTTATCTTGCATATTGTTCAATATACTACTGCACTCAGGATCTTCCAGGGAAAAAAGTAAGTGTTCCTTTTAAGAGAATTTTTGGGTTCAGTATTAGTTTGTTGTATGCAGAGAAATTGTGGGCAGAGCACTCAAAAGAGCTGCTTGTACACCACCCATTTTCAGGGTGCTTCCATCCAAGAAGCAGTCACACAGAAATAGCACAGCAAAGTCTCCATTGCAAAATCCAGGTATAACAGAACTGACTACACAGTAAAGGGCAAAAAAGGCATTTTATGAAATAGATAATAAAGAAAGAGATGCCTTACTACAGTAAAGTATTACAAAGGAGACTTTCAGAAATAGTACAAAATATATTGCTGATGGAAGATGAAAGCCTGTCATAACAGTAAAAAATGCCATGGGGAACATGCTCCTAAAGTGATGTCAACACACTATTACAACATTTGCAGACAGAGAGAAAAAACCCACCCTGTATAAGAGGATTACCCACAATCTGAAAGCTTTATTAGTAGCTTCAGTAATTAGAAACTAACTGAAAGCTTGATATCTTTAGATAGTAGGTAGAAGGCAGCCTTTAATAGAGGCATTTATCTCAACTGGCTGTTGCTTGTACCAAATGCAGTATCTTTCATTTAATAGCATAAACACAGTGATAGATTTCCAAGCAATGATTAGAATCTCCTGTGCATTAACAAGGATGCTGCTCTTTATTCCACTGCCTATCCAAAAGCAGCACTACCAGATATCAGAAGGATGGATCCATTATTTTGATGAAAGTCTGGAATTAGAAGTACAGATTTCAGCAGACCATTCAATAACTGCATCTATTCTAGTTACCTGAACTGGTGCAACAAGGCATGAGCTATCAGAATTAGCCAGCTGCACACCAGTCATAAAAGCTGACATAGTAGACGTCCATAGCAATGGAACAAACAAATGAAGCACGCTCTGGAAAAGATCTCAGAAATCCAAGTTCTTTTAGGATAAAGTTTATTACTCTACATGGCTATAAACAGCCATTAAAAAAGATATTCCTGTTCTGTGATAAATGTACTAACTACAAAGCAAGACTGTACAATGGGACACTTATGGACAGCACTGGCTGAGACTGTGTCTCTGGGAGTCTCAAAGACATTGGAAAGAAGCTGCTTCAGAATATGCTCCACAAAACCCAAATCAAGTTGCTTTTTCACATCAACGAAATTATTACAATCCTTTATGCTTGTTATATAAAACCATGGCTCCAGTATTATCTTTAGGAGTATGGATATACAGTTCTCAAGGTAAGAGCACCAATCCTGCCTTGCAAAACTGAATTATACCATATTTGTCAAAATATCTTTTCAAAAGCTTGTGGCCCTGTACTGCACAGCTGCAAGATCCTAATGCAACACTAACAACCTTACCTGGAAAAGGTAGAAAGTGGGGGTGGTTTTTTTGCTTATACTTAAATGCATTCCTGCCATACCAGCAAAAGAAGAAAGAACAAGATACGAGTTTTAGCCATTCCTGTAAGAATAACAGGACAGCATGGCACCTTGTAAGAAAAATTTCAATATTCTATAGAAATAAGATTTTTTTTTTTACCTATAGACCACCTGTGAGATTTTTAGTTACTAGAGTGAATCTGTAAATATGTAACGATAGGCAAGATCTCCATCTTGCAAACTAAAACAGCTTAGATTCTGCTCCTGAAAGTGGGTGCTAAAAATGTACTTTTCTCTACTGAACTCAGCTGAAAAGAATGACAGAGAACTCCGTACATTTTCATCTATCTACATTAAAATTACTCAAGTGCACCTCCCCCCACTCCTCCAAAAAAAAAGTCCTGATTTTAGGTTGTCTGAGTTGAGGATCAGTAAAAATGTAGGAGGTCATATTGTTCTCATCTTCTAAACACGGTTCTACAAAGCAAATCTTAAAGATGCCTGTAGTAAACTATGGGTATGCATTTATACTTTCTTTATAAAGGTACTAATAGGTAGAAAACCAGATCTACAACATAATTCACTCCTAAATCTACATAAGTTTAAGAAAAATGCATTTTCATTTCCAAATTTTAGAAGAGGACCTCAACCAACAGATAAGCTGCAGCTTCATTCTATGTCATTAACTAGATCAAGTTCTAATGGTAGTAGCAGTGTATCATTCAGACTGTATTAACAGCAACTGTAGATAAAGCTGTACACAAGCTGATGCCCAGACTCATACCTAAAATGGATCACAAAAAACCCCCAACAGATCTGGTGAATTTAAAGATTCACTGTAAAGATGACAACATAAAACAAAGATTGCACCTGGTGCACTTAGTTTTAAGTAAATCTAGTGATTCAGATATTAACCAGAACTTCTCCTCTATAACAAGAGCAGCTTTTGAACCAGAAGATTTTAATAAGACATACCTAAATCCAACTAAGGAACAATCTTCAGACCAAAAATGTGTATTAAAAAACTTCTAGAAAATATACAAAAAGTCCAGATGACAGTGTGCAACCAGTCAGTGTACTGATGAGTGTTGAGAAAGGAGAAGAAAATATTGAGAACAAAAATTCCATCTCAAAGCAAGGGAAGTGAAAAAGAACCACAAAAAATAAAACCCACACCACAGCTGACAATTCTGTCTTCAACTGCAATATATTTACAAATAACTCCACAAGAAGCAGTTTGTCATTTTGGTCCTCATAGAAGTGCTGACACATACAACATAAGAATACCAATGGACATCAGCAAAAGATTGCTATCTCAAGTTTACTAAAGTAAATACTTAAACAAGTGAACCAAATGTATTTCTTCATGTTTTATAGGTTGAAATCCATCATCTCGGAAAAACTGTTCACAACAAATATGTACTAAGGCAAGTGTTTGCCTCCTGAAATAGATCATAGCATTTCTGCATCGCAACGGAAAAAATACCATACTGAGCTGAATCTCTAGCTCAGTCAGACTAAAGAAACCCCACTCTACATGCTACACTGTTGATGCTGCTACCAGTACAAACTCCATATAGTTTAGCATCCTTCAAAGAAATGCAGGTGTGTGGATGCCAAGTTACAACAGGTTCAGATAGTGTGCAAGAATCACTGAAGCAAAAATGGAGTGTCCTCAAACACTATGAAATTCCAGAAGTCATGTAAAAACAGATACTTGTGTGCTTTGTGAAAGCTTTAGTGAAAATGAAAGATACCCAACTATCGGTTTTCTGAACTAAGAACATTCCATAGGGCGGAGTTTGGGGGAAATTTTAACATTTCACAGCAATGTTTTCAGGATCAATTTATGAAATATTACGGCCAAAGAGACAATAAATAAAGCTTTTGAAAATTCAAAACCCCACAAAACACGTTCTTCAAGTCTTCCACTTTTCCATATAGGCACAGGACTTAAGAACAGTTAAGACCATCAATTCAGGAACAGTTCTTAAATACATTTAAGTTTCATGTAACATACATGAACAATTTGCTAAATTCCAATGAGCATCTAAACGTTCTCTGAAGTTTACTTCAGGCAGGGAATTACCCAATCCTATGTATAACTACAATAAATCTCTAAGTAATTCCCAAAGTAGACTACTGACTTGACATATGACTAATTGGTATGGAATTAATTTTTTTTTTAATACTTGTTTCCAAATACCTGGAACATGGATTTTCAAGTACTTAATTCTGAAATGTTTTTAAAATTGATGAAACTTTGAATTTTGTAAGTTATTGTACAAATAGGAAATAGTTTTCTGGAATAATTTCCAAATATAGTTTAATTACTCTTGGCTTCTTTAATGATTCAGTTCTACAATTACATCCAAAGCAAAGGTGAAATCCTACTCTTAAAATCATTAGACCTTTCTTATCTAATTGCAACCTTTTGAATAATCATCACTTTTACAGAAGTGACTGAGCTACGCCGTTCCTACTTGATTTTGTAGTCCTAAAGAACATCTAGAAGTGCATAAAAACTTTTGCTAAGACAAATGTCTCCTCTTCTGAAAAGTTAGAATCTCTCATTTATGTAAGGTCAAGCTTGGAGGAAGCAGTCTTCAGTAAAGCTGACTGGTTGGACAAGGAACTGAAAAAGGGGGTGAAGAAATTATTCCTGAAGAAGTATAAACGAGTCTTATAGACAAGCCTACAGTTCAGAAGTCTATCGCATCTATTCAGACACCCTGATTTTTTCTGTATCCGTACACAGCAACAAGCATGCAGATTTCTTCAGCCTATTAGTCTCATCATTATAACAACGTTTTGTTAGTAAGAGAAGAGACAGACTTGTGCTATATTTGGTTAAGATGAAATGCAATGCCTACTTGATAAACTGCTCTTTCGCATCCAGCTAACTTCTCTTCATAACAGAATTCAATGGGTGGAGAGAGACACGTGCAGGGACTTAAGAAATGAACACAATTTAAATATACAGGGACAGCGTACATAGCATGGAGGATGAAGAGCCAGGACCAGGATCAGAATTGTCAGCTGAAGATGCTGACTTATCAGAATAGATCATCATTCTCCAAGATCTCAGCCGCTGCATCTAAGGGTTTTACTGCTTCACCATTACCCCAGTTTTCCATCCTTCACTCTTGACTGACTGATTCATCCAAAAAAGATGACGACAACAAAAATGGAGCTGTTGAAGAAATGGCAGCAACTGTACTCACAATAAAAGATGGGTCAGCCTATTGCCTTTTGGGTGCTTAAAAACTAAGTTCTACTACTGTCATCCATGACAACTGACAAACTGTCAGTCACTGACAAGCTGGTGAGCAACTACTATATATAGTCACTTTGGCTCAGTCACCAAACTAAAAGCAAGTTTTCAGTGTGCTGTACAAGACAAAGTTTAATACCTAACAAAAGATTTTGGAAACTGCTCATGTCATGGGAAGAAGCCCTACCTATCACTGATGTGAGCAATTGTTAAGTTATTTAGGTGTGTCAAGGACTGCTCAGGGACTCCCATTTTTCTGGGGACATAGGTTAAGTAATTCAGAAAGCAATCAGAAAGACACAATAAAAATACTTACTATGTGACTGATTCCAGTTTCAGCCATGTCAAATACCACTGTTAATGGTTTTCCATGATCTCTCTTGGCATAATGTTCTAACCAAAAAGCTACCAGTTTCTTTTTCTCAAGCTGCTGTTTAGGATCTCTTGTATGATGTTTCACTCTGAACCAGACTTGTGAGAAGAAAGAAAACACAAAAATTGAAACAACAGATCCAAATTAACAGAAAACATTATGCAAATAACTATACAGGATGCACTGAAATTTATTAACACCTCTGAGTTTGTATTCTACACTTCTACTGATTGTGGCCACTGAACAGCCAGAAAAAAACAACTGCATACCTTTCCACACACACCCTTTCCCTGCTCATATTTTTATACCGTAACTTTTTAAAAATTGAAAATACAAAGAATTACAGCACAGAAGAAACAGTAGAGTGGAAAAAACACTTTTCATGTATTTAAAGACTACTTCTTATCTAGGTTATGATTTCATAATTTCAGATTAAATTACACCGTCATCAGATATGATATTATGTTCTGCATATATTCTAAGTATTGTTGTGGTTGTGAAATTATTTATGTTTCTTTTACTTAAGTTTTCTATAGCACTGTAGTAGATGTGCTTAGAAAAACTATTTATACACACATTGTGAATTATGTAAAGATAAACAGACCTTTCTAAAATAAAACGAAAAAAATCCAGAAGATGAGCAACATTATATAAATGAAAGCCAAATACATACCCTTCTGGAATAAGAAATGAGTCATGCAGAGACAAGTTTTTCCATGAAAAGTAGCATATTTCAAAGTAACAGACTATAAAAACTAAAAGACTATAAAAATGTCTGAAACCAAATTACTGATTATACAAATGAAGTGATAAAAGTAGTATTTGGGGCAGCAATGTGAAAAGCAGCCTTCATTTTTGGTACCTCTACAATACCAAAATTAGACAAGCCCTGAAAATAATTGTAGATTTACTCTAATATTTTTCTCCCTGAAACGTGAAGAAATCTGGTTTTCAGTAAGACTTTCCATATCTTTTACTTCCAATTGTAAATAAAGAATATTTTATGGCTTGTGTAAAGAAACAAACTTTTTTTTTAAACGGAGCGTATTAACTAGACACTGTAAGTTCAGAATTTCAAAGAGATACCCCTATTCAAACAAAGGACTCTTGCAAAAGTAACCAGTAATTTTTGAAGAACTTCTTTATACTTTAAAATGCGTATTCTACATAACAGAATGAGAATGGAGCATGTGGCCCAAGAAACACATTTATCAAATGTTGACTAACCAGGAACTCTTAACTACGATACAATCTGAATTTGCATACCAAGTCAGATATTCTGACCCAATTAACATTCACAGAAGAAACCCTTCAGGTATGGAAAATTGAGACATTAGTTATGTTTCAGTGACAATAAAATCAGAAATCATTGTTTACCCAACTTACACATTCTTGTCATGAAACAACTGCATAATTTTCTCACTGATGCAAGAAAGCCATGTTTTTTCTACTTCTCCCCTCCCCCCGCAATCTCACCACATTGAACCACCCAGTATAATCATGCTCAGCTTTCTAAATGCTATAAAAAGGTATCACCACCACTCATCCTTGAATACTTACCTTGGAGGGTAAAAGAAAATTATGAAGCATAACAAAGCAGCAATTTTTCATACAGCACTGATATCTTACAATAAGAAAAGGGACAGTTTGACAAAACAGAGCCATAGAATAAAAGCTGTATTCTTCTGGTCTTTTTTTTTTAAACTAGTGTATCGGTGTTTAAAACACAGTCATTTCTGTAAAAGATTGGATTGTTAGTGTATTTCTGGAAGTACAAACTAGGCCTTGTAAACCAAGGAAAACCAGAATTTCAGATTTAAATTTTTGGGTTTTTTGGAGGTTCAAGATCATTGCTTGGAAAGCCTCATGAGTTATTTGTTTTAAAAGCCTCTTTTGCCCCACAGGATTTAAGCTTAATTAAAAATAAATATACAAGATATTACAGATTCACGTATAGAAAATAATATTGCCCATCTATTATACGCTATTAAAAAAAACCTCAGGAGTATTTCAGGCAACATTTACTGTTTCCCTACAAATCTTATTCTTTAATTACTAAGAGTTAATCACACAACTTGAGAGTTCATTCTCCAACAATTCTCAGCTGTCCACGCTGTTACTGAACATTTCAATGACATCAAAAAAATGAAAAAACAAAACAAGAAAGCCATTGCAGACCTCCTGTGAACCACTGCAAGTATGCAAGAATGTGGGCCGCTAGAAAAGCGATGACAATGCACTGTAATAATGAACATTTATACTAGCCATATACTCACCACACTAGATACAGAAACAATAAACTTCAACAGGAAAGTTAAAAATTGCATTATAATTAGGATAAAGGTTTATGATTTTTGAAAACTGCTGATAAAGTTTCTTCATTCCACTTCTGTGATCCAAAGAGATACTCAAAGTTACCAACTTCTCATCATTTTTAGTAAAATAGTTGTTAATATGTACCTTCTATTTTTAAAATGTTTATTTTTCAAAATAGATGCTAAAATGCTGGAAACAAAAAATTATCATCGATGACTGAAAATATTATATTGCATGTAACTTACATAATTTATAGCCCTCTTTATCATATCCATGCAGAAAGAGAGAACCATTTTCAAATAACCATTTTGGAAGGACAGATTCTGTCAAGTCTGCAAAGCCAAATGAGAGATTATTTCAGTAATCGTATTAATAATCACATTGCAACTTAACAGAAGTCACTAAAAATGCAGAAGTCTAGCAACAAAATACAAAAATATCTATAAGCCACCTTCCAAGGCCTTTACTGAACTAATGCAAACATTGAGCTCATTTGATCATCTTTATTATCTTCTTCCTCTCATGCTGTAGAGTAGGAAGATTTAGGAAGAAATAAGAAAAAAAAAATTGATGGAAGAAAGAAGTGCTGCAAATGTTTATTTTTGCTCATTTAAGTCCTCTAGATAAAGCTCACCTTCAAAACATTCTCACAGCACAAAAACCAAATCTATTCTACCTTGGTGTCCTGGTTTCGGCTGGGATAGTGTTAATTTTCTTCCTAGTAGCTGGTACAGTGCTGGGTTTTGGATTTAGGATGAGAACAATGTTGATAACACACCAATGTTTTAGTTGTTGCTGAGCAGTGCTTACACTAGTCAAGGGCTTCTCATGCCCTGCCAGCGAGAAGCTGGGAGGGGGCATAGCCCGGACAGCTGACCCAAACTGGCCAAAGGAATATTCCATACCATATGACGTCATGCTCAGTATATAAGCTGGGGGGAGTTGACAGGGGACAGTGACTGCTGCTCAGGGACTGGCTAGGCATCAGTCAGCAGGTGGTGAGCAATTGCATTGTACATCACTTATTTTGTATATTTTTATTGTTATCATCATCATTTTCCCTTCCTTTTCTGTCCTATTAAACTGTCTTTATCTCAACCCACGTATTTTACTTTTTTTTCCCCAATTCTCTCCCCCATCCCACTGGGGTGGGGGGTGGGGGGGAGTGAGCAAACAGCTGTGTGGTGTTCAGCTGCCTGCCGGGTTAAACCACAACACTTGTGTCAGACCAGTGCTACTATGATGAACAACAGATCCCTGTTCTTTTGTGGTGTTTGTTTTTCTTTTTCTTGTTGTTTGGAGGTTGTTTTTTTTTTTTTTTTAAGGACTCCGTTCTAGCAAACGCACAAAGACAAAACAAGAGATAGCTGCCTTCCTTTCTCTTAAACAACCTTTCAACAGACATATGGAACCACAACAAAACACTGAGACAGTACTGGTCAACGTAAAAAGCAATAGTTCTAATTTTTTTCTTTTTTTTAATTGAGTAGCGAAGTTCTTGCTCAGCTCTGTGGTACCTACAAAACCTTTAAAAGGCACTTAATGAAACTACAATACAGAAGCCAGTTGTAGTTCAATAGGAAACCAACACACACCATCAAAAGCATTATATAACATAGCTTACCATTAACTGTATAGTCTTTCCTCCACTGAAAGCTTTCATCAATCATCTTTAATGTATCATCCACAACATCGTGACGCCAAATCAGATAATTTTCAACCCATTTATCATCTTGCTGAAGTCTTTCCACATCTCTAGCATCATATTTGTCTGATTTATCTAGCAAATAAATAAATTATTTTAAGAATATAGCATTTGCTATGAAAACATGAAAGCAGATTAGTCAAGTTTCAATATAAGCATCTACTAGGTACATAGGATTTCTTTTGCAGTCTCAAGCAGACAAAGCATAGCATGAGAAATTGATTAAAAAACATCTACTGTGATGATATTTAGGAACACTACAAGATTACTCTCATTAGAAAATATTTTCTGTGATTCTTAGTCAAAGAAAAAACATTAGAAAACAAGAAGGTGTGTGTAGGGCAGGTGTAATTTTTTAGAAACAGGTTTCTATAACATAAATTAGTATATGATCTAAGAATCTGTGTACCGATGAATGTATATATTAAGCATCACTAGTTCAAGCTTGAGTCCTCAAAAACTTACAGGCATCAGCATGTCAGACCATGAAATGTCAGAGAACAGATGTTAAAATAACTATTTTTGGCCATGAGCTATACATCATTGCATTAAACAAAATTGTTTTCTTTAAAAAGATTACACATTCTACACTTGTTACCTTACTGAACACAAACTACATGCAACTCTAGAGCAGTACAAAACTCTCAAGCCTCAAACTCTTCTTGTATCAGGTTAGCAACAGGGTAACAGGTTAACATGCTTTAGGAAGTACAACAGGAGTTGCTGCTGCTTCTTTTTTTTTTTAGTTATTTTTTTAAACAGGAAAGTTTGTAAAATGCAAATGCCTAAGTGGACCTATTTTTACTGTACATATGCTTAAACAAAGGCTCAGTTTTTAGATCAATGTTCCTCTTTGTCTGAGAAATCTGCGTCATTGGAATGTAAATCAACTAAGAGCCCATGATAGAAACAGGCTTTGAAAGCAACAGACACTGATACACATCTCTTTGCTAACTACTAAAAAACCATAAGCTCTTAAACTATTCACTTAAATTTATTTGTGATTAGCAGGAAAAAAATTAAGACTTGTTGTTAATGAAATAGACGTTAATTTTCACATACTAGAAAGACTTCCTCTGTCAGCAGCAATAAACTCAAAATAACTACTTTCAGGGCCATCATAAATAAAATAACTATTTAGAACTGTGACTGGATGGTTTAAGGATGTGTATTTCAATCGGACATCTTAACTCTGAGGAAGATTAAGAAAAATACACCATTAAATTCTGCTAATATTTTTAGTTTTACTGGCCTACATGCAAAGATATGACCTAATTTACTTGTCTTTCAATTTATACTGTTTCCTGTCACAAATTAGTCAATATAACTATAAGAATATATCCATTTAAATGTGCCCATTCACTAAAAGTTATTATAGTTGTACTCCCCCCAATGAATCTCTTCACATCTGACTGCTTCTCACATACATTATCTACTCAGTTCCTTCTTCATTAGGTTTCAAATCTCTCATGCCCTTGATCCCATCCCACTACCTTATCTTGTTCTTTAGCCAAGCCTACAGTCAAATCCCACTTTCCTTAACCTTAGTCCCCTACTTGCTCCTCTCTGCCCACAAGCCTCCAAGACAAAAAACCACTCTCGCTCTTTCAGTTCCTTCTCTCGTCATTTCCATACTTGCACCAGTCAGCTCATTCCCTATATTCTGTCAAAGTCCAGTAAAGTGAACATTCAGCACAAGACTGAAATGCTGTTTGATTTCTCTGTGGCTTTAGGTCAACCACAGAGGGAACAAGTTGCAAAGATTTCAGGTATTAAATTTTGTAAAGTCTCAACTGCTCATTCAAAATTTGATTATTCCCCCAGTGATTTATGATTTGGACAGTCTTGCCTGGGAAACAATAACAGTACCTACTTTCAAGTTAGAATCATAAAAAAAATAACATTGGAGAGGATTTCTGCAGGTCACCTCAGTCTTAACTCCTGCTCATAGCAAGATAACTTCCAAGTTCAAACAGGTCACTAAGTACCTTTTTCAGCCAAGTTTTCTACCCTTAAAAGGGTAGAAAGATTCCACAGCCTCTCTTCGTGTAACATGCATTCCAACTCAAATCCCCTTCAGAGATACTGTCATGTCCAATAACTAAGCTGGCACATCCGCAGTCAGCTAAAGTAAGAGAAGCACTGGCTTCTCTTAGCCATGGTATATTAGCTATTCTCTGCTATAGATTATTCAATATGGCATATTGTCTATTCAAGCCATTTATAGCTACTCATAGCCACAGCAAACTAGAGCTTTGCAAGAGCAAAGATTTACTTTAACCTCAGTATTACATGTCTCTAGCGCCTGAGCTACCTTACTTCAACTTGGTTTAATAATCTCTAACACACACTAGCTTCCAGCTAAGAGTGACTGCCGTTAATCAATCAGCCAAGTATTTTTCTGAGATCAGTCCCATGTATATCATTTTTGTATGAGGGATTTGAGTACTGTGTAATTAAAGAAAAAAAAAAAAACACATAACACCAGGTAAAAACTAAGAGGATAACATTTCACACTGCTTTCTGAAGCTCTCCTTGCTCTCAGTATCTATTTCAGAGCAGAACTGTCAGAATGACAGAATAGCACATCTTGTATCAAACAATATTTTAAAAACATTCACATATCATTATGTGGAACATGCCTCAGAACACATGTTTCTGGGCCACTAAAATTTTTTCCCAAACTCTGAACTTAAATTTGTATTTTTTTTTTTAGTATTATCTCACTTTATGAATATTTTAAGAAAATGAAATTGAAAGAGGAATGGAGAAAACGTTTTATCCAAACTTTCAACATCACAATAAAAAACCAACTGGTTTCAGAGATAGGGACAGTTGAAAAAAAATTTTCCTCTCTTCAGCAACTAAATTCTCAACAAGATGACACATGTAATCTGAGCTTACATATATACTACAACACACATTAAAACAGGAACAACTAGTCAAATTCTGCCTCCACAGGCACTTGCAGAATGCCAGTATTTCAATCAGGTAAGCTTAACAAGACCGACAGAATAAGAGGAGTACCGATTACTGTTTTAACCCTACCTGATTTATCCAATTCTTGCTACAAAATAAAACTTAGAATGAGACAGTGAACCCAAAAGAAATGTGTTTTATCTCACACGTATAAAGCAGAGTGATATGAAATTGCTGGAGTCCTTCCAATAATCCAGTCATTGAACGTATGTCAGTTCAGAGGAGGAATCCCTCTTCAAATTTGTGCATTTCCCATAATTCTATAGACATCTGGAAACTTGTTTCCAAACTATGCTGTGAAATAATCTGAATGTTTCTAATTTTAAATCACTCATGGAACACCTGTAGTTACTGGATTATTAAAAATTTCTGGAGTTAAAACAGAATTAGTTGAAAGAAAATAGACCTTTGGGGTTTTCAACACAATTTAAACACATCCTGCACAACAATTAAGAGCCCAAAAGGAAACAGAAGTTGAGGGGCACCCAAACAGAAATTCAAGTGAGACTATAAACTGAAGTATCTTACCTCAGACAATCTCCAAGCCTAGCCACTTAAGATACCTGTAAACATACACTGATGCTTTTCTCACTAGAACATTAAACATCTGTTTCTTCACACCTGCAGAACTGCCACTAAGACACTGAGGCACTAAGTTTAGTCACCCTCTACTCAGGGAGATAGACATCTCTATAACTAAGTCAGTAACAAACAGAATTTCATAAGGTATTTGGAACATGCCCTGCTTGCCCCAAAAGTAACACAAAGAACAGCATTCACAGCTACTTCTGTTCAGAAAGAGCTACTGAAAGCCACATATTTAACAGCAGCACCAGACTTTTGTGAAACAACTGCCCAGAAGCTTGGAAACCTAGTTCCTCCCTCAGCCCATGAGATTCAAACTTTACTGTATCCCAGAATAGTTCCACAGCCAGTGAAAGAGGCAAAACTGGGAAGCTGCAAGATTTTTCTGTTGAACTGGTAAGCTGTGTAGAAACTAATCAAGACTCAGATCCAGAAAAGCAAGAGAAAGCATAACCTGCTTAGCAAATTTGCTATTTACCAGAGAGCATTAAAACCAAATTCTAAGTTTTATATGAGGAAGTAACAGTGACAACAGCAAGGAGAAGAGGCCAAAATTAGCTCTCTTCAATCCCTCAGCTAAAAGCCTTCAGGAAAATTTGAGCGAGCAAGAATACTGACCAGGTCTCAGACAGAACTTTAAAGGTTTCAAAGTTCATCATTTTATTTAACCTTATTTTAAAAATAGCTACTTAAAGTTACTTTCATTTCCTCATTGAACATTTGGGGTCAAGGGAGAAGATTGGGAGAAGACAGAAAGAGTTCTGTTTTAACAGCAGCTTCTTCCTATTACTTGCCTTCCTTTTTTTCTTGCCTAAGTGAGGACTTCTTTCTATGACCACATTCTGCCCTATTAATAGTTGTCTTCTTCAAGCTGAGAAACGTACGGTGAAACTCTACAGCTTAATTACTATCTTCCAACATAGAGGACCCTGTATAACACAAGACAACAGCTCTGAAAAGAACTCCAGAATCATGCAAAACTAAATGAACACAAATTTCACTGCAACACTTTTGCTGGAGGAATTAATGAAATTCTTTGATGCACAATTATAACATCCCTTCTCTTCACTTTTTTTTTCAGTGCCATCTGCATTACCAAAAGACCAATGCTGCACCGCTCTGTTTTCTTCTGGCATTCATGCTTTAGGAAAAATAATAGAAATTTGAGAATATTTGACAAAAATATAGAAGACTACAGGACTGGAAAACAAGAAGCAGCACAGCTAAGTCCCACACTAAAGTAATCCACAACCTGTAAGAATGATTCCTCCCTTCAGGAAGAACTCTTATCTAGAAAAAAACCATTACAGAACAAGTTGTACACAAAGCTAAGTAGGGATAGCAACTACATACCTTTGAACAGAGAAAAAAACATGTCGTTGTACAAATAATTGAAAAAAACAACTTAGTCAAGCATTCCATTACACAAAACCTCTCAGTTTAACTACTGCCTTAAGCTATTTCAGCCAAGTCATCTTTGGTCTGAAACACTCAATTATTCCTCTGTCTTTGGCTAGAAAGAGGAAACCCATTTTAATTGGCTGTTGAATCCTAACATGTTAAGCTAAGTACTATAACCATTCAGGTGTGTGCCTGCAATTGTTAGATGAGGAAATCTGCAAGACTGAAAACAATTTAAGAAGGTCAGTAGCCATATAGGGACAGGGATGAAGAAAACAGAACTGTTTCTGCCCAATAAGGAGTTATTTCAACAAAATCAAGCGGCAACAAACAAGTATCTGCCTCCACAAGATGTGATAAATTTAAACTTTTTGCAAAACTGAACACTTTCAGTAACAATAAAAACTACTTTCAATGGAAAGCTCAAATATCAATATCACATAGCTTTCTATAAAAAATTGGGGTTTATCCTATCCATATATTTCCTATCTTATCCTTCCAGCATTTCTCAGCCTGAAAGCCAAGAATCAGGGAAAATAGATTTTTTCAGAGCGTAAACAGACATAAGCAGGTATTCAAAACATTACCTTAAGAGTTTTCTACAATAGTCATATCACTGTGTTTTTCTGAGGATGCCCCATATGTCTAAAATTTTATTTCCAATTGACTAATATGATTAACAAAACACATTTTGCTACTGGCTTAAATAAAGTCATAATGAAATTTGATCTTTTACATTGGAGTGGGAAACCTCTTGCAAAATCTTTTTCTGAAAATTAAGCTTTGCCTCAAGGAGAAGCGAAGATGATGCAAATTGGGAGGGGCAGGGAATACAGGCAATAAGAAATGGTAAATATGCAAAAGGAAGTGTGGAAAAGACTTGTTGAATGGAAAAAATCTGCCAAGATTTGATTACAAATAGCTTCCACTGTAACATTAAAAAGGAAAGTAATAGCCAGGAAATAAAGGCTAATTTTAGAAATCCTCTAAGGAATGAAAATGCACTGAAGAAAAAGACAAGGCTGTTTGGTACTAACAGTGTTTTCTAGCAGTCAATACTGGAAAATAATCTTTTTTTTTCATTGTCCCTGTCACCACCCAAGTCATTTACATCACCAAAAATAGAAATTAGGCCGCAAACCACAAAGATAAAGCACTGTCCGCCTATCACATCAGACAGCGTTTGCTAGTCTATTGGACTAACAGGGACTTTTAAAAGGCTTATTTCCAATACTGAAATGCAAGGTTTTTAATTACTAGGGATATACATTCCTCACAAGAACTGAAGCTGTCTTTCAAACACAGCTAGAAAATTTACTGAAGAGAAAAACACACCACCACAAGATCGCAGTTAACATTAAACACTGCTTTGCAGGTAAGATCTCACAGTGGCCAAGCTTTCCTTCTAGAACACCTCAATGGCCACATATGCTCAACAACTTCAGCAAGAAAGTTCTCGTGCAAACTTTGAGGAAACAAGCCAGTAAGGTTCTCTGAAGCTGTATTTTCCAAACTGTATCTGACTATTAAAACTATTCTTTGATTTAGCTGCACAGATGAAACTGTGTAATTCAGAAAACAATTTCTGGTGCTTTCAGTCACTGAACAAAACTTTTCCCATCCTACCTTCAAAATTGTCAAGTCCATAGTATATTCCTTGGTTGTAACTTTTATGTGAAATATTCTACCATGTATTAGATGTCACAGTTAACATTAGATTTTTCTGAACCAGCTATATATTAATATATTTGTGTATATTCTGATTTAATCTAAAAATTGTACTCTGCCAATAAATAATTTTAACCAAAAATCAGGATTTCAAAAGGCCCTCTAAGTTTTCATTGCACAATAAAAATAAACATTACTGCAAGACCATCACAGCATTTGTGAGCATTAACAATTCTTATCGCATGAGGGGGAAACTAGGTACCTGTGAGTTCCGTAATATAGAAGAATCCCTTCATAACACAAACACCAAGTTTCTATAAAAAAAACACCCTGTGTTTTTCATGCTTGAAGTAGGCATGACAACCTTAATTTGCTTGTGGCATTCCTAAATTCGAGGGAGCCACTTAAGAAAGTAAACTCAAAAAAATCCTCTTTTCTTGAAAGGGCTAAGAGCCCTAAACCATGACCCAAAAATGGGCTGAGAAAATGTGTTCAAAATACTGCAAATAGGATTACAGCTTACCTTACAGCAGTATTCAATTATTTTAATGGCTGTAACAACCAGCCCAACAGAGGCTTCATTACAACTAGAGAAACCTGTGGAATTCCAAGAGTGTAAGGGATAGTTCAATCGAAAAAGGTAATACTCCCTTTCAGCAGCAACTGTCCCAAAGCAGTTCTAGGCTTTCCGAAGTCATTTTTTTATGAGTGTAACTCTGGGATAATAGAATAAAAAGCAAGATGAATCACCTATTGTAGCAAAATATACACATTAACTGAAAACATTAACAGCCAAAAGAATTTATATTTTAAGATGATCCTCCACTCTCCTGAGCTTTAAGACTGCCAAAGACATCTTTACTCACATGGAAATATCAAATGGCAAAATAAGCTCTCTCTTCTTCAAGACACTATTCTAGTAATTTTGTCATCTTGCCAGAAAAACAGGTCATCTCTAACCAAGGCCAAAGTAATTTCCTTTATAGAAGTTAGCAGGGCAACCATACGAAACAAAGTTGTACTACACCCAATACCCTCAAAGTCTTCAAGAAAAGTGCTATAGCCAATCACAAAGAAGTCACAAGTGTGCAACCCTTACATAAAAGTGATAACTAGGTAACCTCAGTAATTCTGATCAAGTACATCAAAACAAGGCATGTGTTTGCAGGATTGCGGCTTATATTAAAGGAGATGCGTGCAACTCCTAAACTACTGGACTCCTACAGGATTGCGGCTTATATTAAAGGAGATGCATGCAACTCCTAAACTACTGGACTCCTGTATTTGCATTAAAAGTTGGATAGGAGTGTGTTTTTAATAGAAAGCCTTTAGACAGTCATAATAAAATGTACTGCTTACTGCAGTTGTTAGCATGCTCTACTACTATATGTTCTTCTATCATAAGCAATGCAAATCAACCTTGAAATAAAAGGAAACCCCTCTAGGCTTACCCTGGTATTCCCATTCCCCTAGGCACCCCAGCACCTCCTGGCCTTCATTTACAAGTTTAAAAGCACCTGCACTTAAGAACCAAGTTGGACACGCAGTATGATTTTAATTAAGGTCAGCATGAATTTAAAGTGCAAGTTACTCTAGAAAAACAACTCTTTCCTTGACAAACTGGTCGAGGTCAGAATTTTTTTTTTCTTCCATGTTTCATGCCCAAAAAGCACCAAGTACAGCAGTGTCCCAGACCCCACGCTACAGCCAACCGAACGTAACTGAGTCAAAAGGACCCAGACCTTTGCCCCCACATGCCTTGCTGCCCCAGAGAGCGACCCAGAAGAGAGCACCGAGAGCCAACAGAGGAAACCCTCACGCTTTGTGCGCCATCCCCGCCCGGTAGCTTCGGCCACCTGAAGGAAAAGCAGAAACACCCGCTCACCTGGGAAAGCAGGGATACAGGAAGCCCACCGGGGAAAAGCGACACCGGGCAAGCCCCAGAGACCACATCCACAGAGCCGGGCCCACCGCTCCCAGCCCGCCCCCGGCTCCACCACCGAGGCGCTCACCTGGCAGGTACTCCGTCTCGAAACGCCGCCTAGTATCGCTTATCAGCGCGGCCTTGTCCTGTCGTTGCTGAGGGGAAACAAGAAATGGGAGGGGCGTGAAAGGAAAGGAAAGGCCGGTGCCCGAGACAGCCCCAGCCCCTCACCTATACGACGGGCCCGGCTATCCCCACCGCCCGACCCCCAACCCCGAGCCGCTACCCGTGCGCGGGGGCGGCCAGGGAGGGGAGGCCAGGC